CTGTAATTGTACATGACTATGAGGTACAATCTGATGTTATGATACATACATATGTTGTATAATGATTGGGTCAGGTTAACTAATATAAAATGCAACCATCACTTCATGCATTTATCATTTCTTTGTGGCAAAAACATTCAGAAGCCTCTCTAACTATCAAGCAATACGCAAAACTTGACTGTTAACAATAGTCACCCTACTGTGCAACAGAACACCTGAATTTATTCCTTCCATCTACTTATAATTTTGTACCTATTGGCCAACCTCTCTCAGTTTTCCCTCCCTCTCTCCCTTCCCCAGTCTCTGCTAACCACTGTTACACCTTCTGTCTCTCTAATATCAGCGAAAAAAGGATGCCTTTTCTCGAGGCCCTTTCTCGTGTCCAAAAGAGGCAAATGCTCCTAGAATCTAAGAAAAGTCTACAGATGTCTCATTTTTCTTGACCAGTGGCTGATAACATATATCAGAGAGAACAGTGTCATCCCAGTTATTATTACATGAACTTGTATTGCATGCTTTCTGAGGCCCTTTCTCGTGTCCAAAAGAGGCAAATGCTCCTAGAATCTAAGAAAAGTCTACAGATGTCTCGTTTTTCTTGACCAGTGGCTGATAACGTATATCAGAGAGAACAGTGTCATCCCAGTTATTATTACATGAACTTGTATTGCATGCTTTCTTCGTGATATGTTTGTCAGGAAGAAACTGTAGCCAGTAAACTAAAGATTCTGATAGGAACAGTTTCTTATGGATGCTAATACTTCTTTTCAGAACAACTTCTCTGGTCCTAAGCTTGCCCCTCACTGAAAGCCTAATATCTAATCCGTTGTCCTTAGCAGTATTCCACAATTAGTTAAGGCTCAGCCCTTAACAACTTCTCAAAAGTCTTGAGGCCTTCACTTAAGGTTCTATTTAGGGAAAACGTATATAACAGATACAGTCAGCCTCCTAAAGGGCTATGTAGCTAGGGAGCCAGTATGTGCTTGTGTTTCTACAGCCAGGACAACTAACAAAATAAAAACAACCTAGAGGACATAAGTAGCACATTCAATTCCCACTTCTTCCTCCATGAACAACACTATAGTATAAATGCTTAATTGCCCAAATACCTCATTCTAGGACACGCTCAGCGTGGGCGTGTAGTTATCCTTCCTTATGAAAACAGTTTGTGAGAGCCAGGGTAATTTGAAACAAGCTACTAAGAGAAAAGTTTTTTTTTTTTTTTTTTCTGAAATGCTCCCTTCAATGCACATGGGTGGGCAGAGCATTATTTCAACGTCTTCTGCATTAGCCACACAGGTCAGATGTTTGAGTCTCCAATTAATTAGGTTTTCCAGCAGACTGTGTAAAATAAATGAGTAATCTCCATCCAGTACAGTTAGACAAAACATCATGACACTTGGCACATTTTTGGCATTTGTCAGCAAAATGGGGAAAAAGTAAATGACCCATGTGGACAAAATGCGCATCTGATGAGGGCCACTAGATAAAAAGTGTAAAGTGGTCTCCATCTATGGCAGAACAGAAGGTTTGAGTGTCTGCCAACATGATTCGCAAGAGAAAGTGATCTTAAAATGAACACAGAGCTCATCAACTGTGATATGAACCTCTTCACATTCATTTATTTAACTGCTCATGATGTTCAAACTTTATAAATGTCAGTTTACCAATGGAAAATTTTGAAAAGACTATTATTAGCAGAGTTATTGATATATAGAAATTTTAAACCAAGAGGTGACTCTAGGAAACAAAGAGAATTCCTATCTTTATTTATTTCATCCTACGGGGAAGTATGAAAGTATTCTCTTTTAAGGTTATGTTTAGACTACTTTCCCATTATCCTAAATACCTTTGAGTTTTCTCATGAAACATTTCCCAAATTGCTAAATATAGTCTTTTGAAAAGAATAAGAGTTAACTACTCAAATCATAAATTTTCATACAAATGTACTTACATTTGACAGACACAGAGAAAGTCAAGATCATATTAAAATTTTCAGATGCATTAGTTTTATGTGGGGACTAGGTGTATAAAAGCAGATAAGATGGGGGAACTCTAGCCAGCTGAGAGGGAGGAAAAAATAAATCCATGTGAATTTCGAAGTGATATTTTCCTCCAATTTTTTGTTAATGTCTTCATCAAATGAATAAAGAGTAAGTCAAGCAAATGATTGTCATTAATTCCTTGTAAGGAGCTCAAGGGATTTAGAAGTCAAAAAAAAATTCCGATAAATTTTATTTTATTATACCTTTATAATACACTTTCTACATTATAGCATTGGTTCTAAACTGGGTGAAAAAACTAGAGATTAAAATTTTGAAAGAAAATCAACAAATGATTCTGACTTTGTTTCAGATACAAACAACTGAAAAATGACTACAATTTTCAGACTTTTAAGTTTATATGAACATATATATGTATATTCACATATATGGATACTTTCTATAGTACATATTATAGCATGTAAAACACAGTCTCTAAGATTTCTTCCAATTCTAAAATCTGACTTCTAACTCCTGTCTTCTCTTTACATTTTCAAATATTTTAAACACATTGATTTTAAAACCTGTTCGTATGGTTCAATTATCTATAGTTCATAAAGTATGAACTATATGAGTATAAGGCATTTCTGCCTTCATTGCAGAAATGAAGGGTGTACTGTCCCTCATGGGCTGAAACTGGCTTGCATGCTTTAGCATTGCTGCCTATGAGCCCATCTGGAAAGGCATGATCTTCCTGGAGTTGTATGCTCTGGACTGTGGAGATGTCTCTGTGGGGTGAGTGCTTTTCATGGCTGCCTGTTCCACATTCTATGGGATTCACTGTTTCTGACCATCTTCTATCTTCTGGGTTCTGAATATTGCATTTTAGGAATAGTGCTAGAAGTCTCACCTTTATGCAGAAAACTGATCTAGCTCCTCTTATTCCCATCTTATTTTGCATATGTCTGTATTCTGCTGGAGAGTTATAACTCCAGCCCTAAAGCATATAGCCCATTTGATTACAATCTTGGACTATAAGATTACAATTGTCTTTTCTCTAGGGATTTCACCCTTGTTTTTAGCACCTGGAAATTTATTTTTGTTTGTAAGCCTAACTGGGCCTTTAATTTTATCTTTAGATATTTTATCAACATCTTCATGTGTTTACCAGGGAATGTGGAACTTCCTACATTAACTTAGCTGGTCATGACAGCCAGAAATGTAACTAAAAACTGACTTGTATGTTTTTAAGCAGCATTATGTTACACACATTTAAAAGATGTATATCCAGTTGTCAATATTTTCCCTACAACTTAGTAAGATGTTTATATATTATTTAAAACATATTTTAGGAAGTATAAATAAATAATCTCATCTTCTCAGCTTCTTGGATTAACTAATTAATTTTGCTTTTTAGATCTTTTGTTGTCAATTTTTTAAATCTCAAATTCACCTGGCAAACTAAGCCTACATTACTAATAAGTGTCCACCTCCAAATAAGTCAGTTCTTACAATATCAACAGAGTATACCTTCTTGGGAGGGACCAAGATGTGGTACCAAATAGATCTGGAAGGAAAATGTTTTGATTTTATAAAAGATGCAAGGTAAATACATTTCTCAATAGGAAAAAAAA